ATACAGACCCTAATATAGACCCTAGAGACATACCTCACACACAGAGATTAATACAGACCCTAATATAGACACTAGAGACACACTTAACACTACAAAAATACACACTAACATAAAAAGTCTAGTGAGTTTAAATGTCCAAGAAGACTCACCCCTCTGAAAATCATCTCTTTGATTTGCTGTGGATTTTGGACACGCCCCTCTCCATCCATAAACTCCTCCCACTTGTCCAGAGGCTCCCCCCTCTTCACCTCAGGTCGCGGGCCAAGCTCCGCCCCCTGGGAGACACACAGGAACCAGTGAGAGGGTGAGGGGTGTCACTCCTTCTCATTTGCCACCTCCCCTAATCCCTTTTCTTCCTCAATCCTCTTCTGCCTCTCTTCACTTTGGTCCTTTATTCACATTCCCACCCCTCCTCACCACCTAACACACAGCCCCATCACCGCTGAAAAATAAACTCTCCCAGTGCCCACCTGCCTCCACTCCTTGTCCACCTATTTTCCTTCTCCCCCCTCTCCGGTCCTGTCCCCTCCCCCCAACTCACGCAGGTGATCACTTCGAACCCTGGCTCGTCCTCGCTGCCCCCGTTGTTCCGGCGGAGCGGGGACTCGGGCTGGCGAAGAGCGCCCCGGAAGAAATTGGTCACCTTGGAGAACCCCCCAAACGTGGTGGCATAAGGGTCCTGGATAAACCTCTGAAACCAAAGGGAAAGGAGAGTCAAAGATAATTACAGATAATAGATAAAGATAATAACAACCTAAAACAACTCACACACACACAGATTAATACAGACCCTAATATAGACCCTAGAGACACACCTCACACACACAGATTTTAATACAGACCCTAATATAGACCCTAGAGACACACCTCACACACACACAGATTAATACAGACCCTAATATAGACCCAAGAGACACACCTCACACACACAGATTAATACAGACACTAATATAGGCCCTAGAGGCACACCTCACACACACATATTAATACAGACACTAATATAGACCCTAGAGACACACCTCACACACACAGAGATTAATACAAACCCTAATATAGACCCCAGAGACACACCTCACACACACACACAGATTAATACAGACTCTAATATAGACCCTAGAGGCACATCTGAGACACACACAGATTAATACGGACCCTAATATAGACCCTAGAGACACACCTCACACA